TCGCGCAGCGCGTGTTCGAATTTCATGTAAATAAACAATGTATTTTACACGCGTTGTGTGCGTCGCTATGAGTCCCACATCGAACAGGACGCGGCACGACGACTACCGCCCTTTAATTTTTTTACAAAATGCATCAATGTTTTCCTGGCTAGGGACCACAAAAGCAAATGGCAGCTCGTTGTTCTGGAGATATTTTCCCACATGTTCAATTCAGTATTTAATACTCAGTAAGATGAGTTAGATTTGATTCATCATAAAATTCCTCTCTGGCTGGAAAACGTGTCTCATTCCAAGACCAAATTTGTTATTGGTACTTTTTACAAAACAGGGACACACATTATCGTCTACATCTGTCATTTTCCTTATTCGTATGTCATACCTAGGGTATATGATCTTACTTCAATTTTTTCTGTAAAGTTATTCAAAAAATTTAGTTAATTTGCAGTTGTAAATTTGTTTCTTGAACGCGCGGGAGCAGACCACGCCCTCAACGCAGAACCATTTATAGTTTTGTTCTACTTCTATAGAAGGAGTGAAAGTGTAGAGATTATCGCTAGAACTACATGGGTAGATTAGAAATATTATTTAACAGAACGAACCCCAGATTTGTGCTCGGAGTATGCACCATATGACTGACAGCAATGTAAATACCAACAAGTAGACTGTCGTCAATGTTACAGCAGCCCAGGAAAAAAATCGTTTTAAGATTGGTGAAGTAACACCTTGTATCAGAAAAACACGCAATATAGGAAACATAATTTTAATATGCAGTTTGGTGGTTTCCCTGCCGTAATTTACATATACAATTTGCTTTCGTAAAAAAAAACACTGTTACAGTGAAGTGAAGTGAATTTAATATTGCATTTCTTCGCTGACATTATTTCAGACTGGTCTGAAATATCCCATTCCAATCTGGGGGGGGGGGGTAATGATTAGATTAAAACAACATTTCCTGAATTTGCCTGAAGAAAATAAACTTAAAATACGTTGTTTTACCACTAGTATCTATTGTAATAGCAAGCTTAATAATGTCAGAAACCACTTGTCTAAACTAACAAAAACGATGTATACGACCAAGAAGCAAAATCGGTAATAAGTTTAACAGTTATTTAGATGAGCTGAATATCGGATATATCGCTGACAAATAATTGAAACAAGTCATGCATCGTACATTTATCTAAATTTATAAGTTTAGCAGCTATTTAGAAATGCTAAACATTGGCGGATTTAGATGGGGGCCGAGGGGGCCGCCCCCCCTTATTTTCAAAAACCACATGGCTTCGCATACAGTTCGGCGCTCGCGAACTTGGCCTTAGGCCAACTTATCGCTCCCCCCTATTCCAGAATCCTAGATCCACCCCTGCTAAATATCGGATATATCGTTGAAAAATAATTGGACCAAGTCACTCCTTGTACGTCAATTGAATAACCTAAAATTTATAAGTTTAGCAGCTAGTTGGAAACGCTAAATGTCGGGTTTATCGTTAAAAAATAATTGGACCAAGTCAATCTAAATAGCCTCAAATTTATAAGTTTAGCAGTTATTTATGAGAAGCGCTAAATAAATATCCTCTTACAACAATCTCAAAAGACTGAAATGCAGCTATTTTGAAGCACTAAACAAATAAGTATAATACCAATCACTACAAGAACGTAAATCTAAATAAATAAATACAACGATTATAGGCTACTAATATTTGATGTTTAACATGTTGTTCCAGGGCTGACTTTCTGACAAACCTTGCTATTCCATCTAATTCTAAAATGGCCAACTGGAAGTCATTATGTTTTTTTGAATGCTGTTCCAGAGCTGACAAACCTTGTCATTCCATCTGATTCAAAATGACAGTCATTTCATCTAATTCAAAATGACTAAGTCATTCCATCTGATTCAAAATGGCAAAGTCATTCCATCTGATTCAAAATAACCAAGTCATTCCATCTGATTCAAAATGGCCACATCATTCCATCTAATTCAAAATGACCAAGTCATTACATCTGATTCAAAATGCCCAAATCATTCCATCTGATTCAAAATGGCTAAGTCATTCCATCTGATTCAAAATGACCAAGTCATTCCATCTGATTCAAAATGGCCAAGTCATCCCATCTGATTCAAAATGGCCATGTCATTCCATCTGATTCAAAATGACCAAGTCATTCCATTTGATTCAAAATGGCCAAGTCATTTCATCTGATTCAAAATGGCCAAGTCATTTCATCTGATTCAAAATGGCCACATCATTCCATCTAATTCAAAATGACCAAGTCATTCCATCTGATTCAAAATGGCCAAGTCATTCCATCTGATTCAAAATGGCCAAGTCATTACATCTGATTCAAAATGACCAAGTCATTCCATCTGATTCAAAATGACCATGTCATTCCATCTCATTCAAAATGGCCAAATCATTTCATCTGATTCTAAATGCCCAAGTTATTCCATCTCATTCAAAATGGCCAAATCATTCCATCTGATTCAAAATGACCAAGTCATTCCATCTGATTCAAAATGGCCAAGTCATCCCATCTGATTCAAAATGGCCATCTCATTCCATCTGATTCAAAATGACCAAGTCATTCCATTTGATTCAAAC